GGGCCTCTCCTAGAGTAGGTGGGACGACAGGCATGTTGGTCACCACGCCGGCCTCATCTTTTCTATATAGTGTAGTTAGTTGGCCAATTGAATTTCTTTCTATTTAATAGTAGAGACGGGGTCGTCACCTTGCTCGGGCTGTTCGAACTGCGCTGACCTCCAGCGATACCTCCCGCCTTCGGCCTCCCAGAGTGCTGGGAATGACAGGCGTGAGGTCCCAGTGCCCGGGCCAGATGGCGATTTTCCAGAGGAAGGGCCGGTCGTCCTGTGTCCTGGTCTCAACCTGCGTTGCGCCCCTCCCCGCCGCAGCTGCAGGCAGGTGGCAGGGTGGGGTGGAGGACCCTCAGGAGCTCAGGATTTGACGTCATCCGGGTGTCAGCACCTTGCAGGTCTGGGCAGACCCGGGAGGTCAGTCGTGCACCTGCTTAGTTTTGGAGAGGAACACCTGGGCAAATGCACAGGTACCGCGAGAGGACACCACGCCTGGCAGATGGCACCAGGTTACCGGGGAGGATGGAACACACCTGGGCAGATGCACAGGTACGGGGGGATGAGGACGGCACCTGGGCACGATGCACGGTACGGGACGGAGGACGCACCTGGGCAGATGACAGGTACGGGAGGACGCCTGGGCAGATGCACAGGTACGGGGGGAGAGGACGCAACCTGGGCAGATGGCAGCAGGTGTACGGCGGAGAGGATGCACCTGGACAGATGCACAGGTACGGGGCAGAGGACGGCACCTGGGCAGGACTGGCACAGGTACGGGGCGAGGACCACCTGGGCAGATGCACAGTACGGCGGGAGGACGCACCTGGACAGATGCACCAAGGTACGGGGCAGAGGACGCAACCTGTTGGCAGAATTGGCACAGGTACGGGGCAGAGGACGCACCTGGCAGATGGCACAGGTACGGGGCAGAGGAGCACCTTTGGGCCAGATGCACAGGTACTGGGCAGGAGGACACACCTGGGGCAGATGCACAGGTAAGGGCAAGGACACACCTGGCAGATGCAGGGTCCCACCTGGCCCGAGCAGCCCAGGCCCCCGGCCCACCTTGCCCCGCTGCCCGCCATGCTGCGCGGGGCCGGGTGGGGCTCCTCTGGCGTTGGGTGGAACCTTCGCGCTGCCGGGCGCGCCCTGTTTGCACCTCCGTGGATGGAGCTTCGGCAGCTGGCCAGCCCCGCTCGGCTGTGAAAATGTCAGTGCGGTTTCATGTCCAATTCCTGGAGTTTTATTCCTTTCCCCCCCGTTTTGCCGGTGGGATTCGATGCCAATCAAGGCCGACGCGGATGACGGCAGATTTGTGTTCCCTGCCGAAGTTGGGCGGAAAGGTCACCAGCGCGGGGAAGCGAGGGGGCGCGGCGTGTGTGTGTACGTCCCGCGCCCCGTGGTGTCGCGCCAAGGCGGGCCCTGGATTTCAAAACTCAGCAAGTGCGGCCCACAAAGGACTGGTTTTTGTTGCAAAACGCTATGGATTGCTTCAGGACCTAACTTAATTTTTTTGCAGTAATGTTTCAAAATGTCATTTTCCCTATTCTTTTTGTTTTGAGACGAGTCTCACTCCTGGTTGGCCCAGGCTAGAGTGAGTGCCGCATTGACCGTCAGGCCTAGGCTCCACAGCAACTTGTGTTAAACAGTCAGCCGTGTGCAGATAGGGTGCCTACGTGGGTGTGGGAGAGAGGGTGCCTCTGTGCATGAATTGCATGTGTGCATACGTGTGCACACGTTATGGTATATGTGTGCACATGTGTGCATACCATGGTATGCAAACCGAGTACAGCTGTGTACAGATAGGGTGGCCTAGTGGGTGCGGGAGAGGGTGCCTCTGTGCATGTGTGTACACTGTGTGTATACCAGCGTGTGTGATACATGTGTGCAAACAGTACAGCGCGTGTGCAGATAGGGTGCCTAGTGGGTGTGGGGAGAGCCCAGGTTACCTCTGTGCCATGCATGTACAATGAGTGGTATACATGAGGTGTTCGTCCATCATGCGTGGCTAGGCGTGTGCCGGCACAAGTGCAGTTTGCTGGCAGACGAGTGACAGCTGGGTGGAGCAGACGCAAGGTGCATGATAACGACGTGGCAATGCCCAGAACGCGTGGCAGATGGCGTGTGTGTGTGGTGTGTGTGCAGAGTGTGCATATGTGTGCGGGCATTGCGCCGTGTGCACACAACAGGCGGGGTGGCAAGTTATGGGAGCCGGCGCCGGCACCTACAGACCCGCCCTGCCACCTGCACCTGTCTGCTGGCCTGCAGACCGCGCCGTCCACCCCTGCACCTGTCTGCCAGGCCTGCAGACCCGGCTGTCTAGCCCTGCACCTGTCTGCCTGGCCCTGCAGACCTGCCCGTCCACCCCTGCACCTGTCTGCCAGGCCCTGCAGACCTGCCCGTCCACCCCTGCACCTGGTCTGCAGCCTGCAGACCGCCGCCTTCCAGCCCTGCACCTGTCTGCCTGGCCCTGCAGACCTGCCCGTTCCACCCCTGCACTGTCTGCCAGGCCCTGCAGACCTGCCCGTCCAGCCCTGCACCTGTCTGCCTGGCCCTGCAGACCTGCAGACCCACCTGCGGGGCCCCAGGCCTCCGAGAGAGACCCCAGGGGCAGCAGGAGTGGGGAGGGAGCCCTCTGGCCTCACGGGCAGGCCGGCCCCTCTTCTGCGGGAGGGACAAGGCCCGGCAGGTCCCTCTGGCCAGCTCGTGCCTGCCTGGGGTGGACAGGGAAGGGTCACTGTCCACCGCTCCCCGAGAGCAGCCCGGCCGGACAAGGGACTGCTCTGAGCAACGAGGCAGGGGCAGATTCGTGGTCCCAGCAGGGAACGTGCCCTTAGAACACGGGGGGAGAAGGGAGAGGAAACACAGGAGGGGAGGAGAGAGGATGAGGAGGAAGACAGAGAGAGACAAAGGGGAGGAGGGGGAGGAGACGGCCAATTTCAAGAGCAGAGTCCTCAGTTTCCTGTTCTGCCCCAAGGGAGAGGCCAGCGCCGGGCTCCAACTTGCCTCCCCGCCTTTGTGTGCACACACGCAGCCCGCACACATATGCATGCTCTGCACACACACACACGCCATCTGCACGCACGCCGTCTGGGCATATGCACGTCGTTACATGCACCTGTGCTGTCTGCTCACGCCAGCTGTCACTCATTGTCTCTGCCAGCAAATGTTACTTGTGCGCACACGCCTGCACGCATGTATGCACACACACATGTATACACGCATGTACACACATGCACAGAGGCACCCTCTCCCCGCACCCACTAGGTACCCTATCTGCACACGGCTGTACTGTTTGCACACATGTATGCACACACGCATGTATACACACATGTACACACATACACAGAGGCACCCTCTCCCCGCACCCACTAGGCACCCTATCTGTACACGGCTGTACTGTTTGCACACATGTATGCACACATGTGCACACATATACATAACGTGTGCACACGTATGCGCACATGCATGCATGCACAGAGGCACCCTCTCCCCACACCCACTAGGCGCCCTATCTGCACACGGCTGTACTGTTTACACACATGTATGCACACACATGCACACATATGCACAACAAATACAAACACGTATGCACACATGCATGCATGCACAGAGGGCCCACATCCCCACACCCACTAGGCACCTTATCTGCACACGGCTGTACTGTCTGCACATGCGTGTATACACACACAAGTCACTGCACACACGCTGTGCACCTGCCACCACCCGTGTCCTGAGGGCACACCCCTAGCACCCTAGTCCCTGGAGGAAAGGGTCAGGGGTGGAAGGTCGGGGGTCCCTTTGGAGAATGCTGCCCGCACCGGCTCGTCCCCACAGGGACAGGCTGGGAGACAGGAGCGAGAACACGCAGAGTGGGACGGGCGGTGCTCGGGGCCAGCCCAGGTGTGGCCCAGGGACAGGGAGGCAGGTGTGGGGGAAACTGCGATCCTCTGTCCCCCCTCCAGATGCCCCGCAGGTGCCCTCTGCCTCTCCGTCTGACCGCAAGACACCCCCAGCCCGGTTACCACCCTCCCTCCCCGCAGCCTCCCGCTGCCCAACCCGGCCGGGAAGGCCCCGGAAGCCACGCTGCGTCTCTGCCCCTGCGGCCACCTGCCCATGGTGGGCCACCCCTCCAGAGCAAGGCGGACAGCCTGCAGCCACCAGGGTCCTCTTTGTCTGCCTCCCACGGCCCCCTCCCCGAGCCAGCTGGCCCCCAGAGCCTCACCAAGCAGGGTTCAGTGTGGATATCACCTCTCTGCAGCGGCACGGCACCAGCTCAAACCTCTACAAAAATCCCCGCACTGGGTCTCCCCCCTTGCCCGCGGCCCCCAGTCCCAGAAGGAGCCAGACAGCCTGGGGCTCTCCCGGCGAGCCCAGGAAGCCGGCCAGAGGGAGAACAGGGGCACGGGCCAGCGCGGCCCTCTCCGGAGCTCTCCGCAAGCAGAGAACCTTTTTTTTTTTAGAAAGGGAAAAATAGGCCGGGCGAGGTGGCTCACGCCTGTCATCCTAGCACTCTGGGAGGCCGATGGCGGGAGGATTGCTCAAGGACAGGAGTTCGAAACCAACCTGAGCAAGAGCAAGACCCCGTCTCTACTATAAATACAAAGAAATTAATTGGCCAACTAAAAATATATGGAAATAATTAGCCAGGCACGGTGGCGCATGCCTGTAGTCCCAGCTACTCGGGAGGCTGAGGCAGGAGGATCGCTTGAGCCCAGGAGTTTGAGGTTGCTGTGAGCCAGGCTGACGCCACGGCACTCACTCTAGCCTGGGCGACAAAGCGAGACTCTGCCTCAAAACAAAAAGAAAGGGAAAAATGACATTTTTAAACATTACTGCAAAAAAATTAAGTTAGGTCTGAAGCATGATAGACGTTTTGCAAACAAAACCAGTTCCTTTTGTGGCCGGCACTTGCTGAGTTTAAACTCCAGGCGCCTTGGCGCGGCCTGAGGCCCCACGGGGCGCGGGACCGTGTCACCCCCGCCCCCCCCCCTCGCTCCCCGCGCTTGGTGACCTTTCCCCAACTTCGGACAGGAACACAAATCTGCCGTCACTCCGTGTCGGCCTTGATTGGATCGAGATCCCACCGGAAAACGGGGGGGAAAGGCAATAAAACCTCCAGGATTGACATGAAACCGCTGACATTTCACAGGCCGAGCGGGGCTGGCAGCTGCCGCTCCATCACAGGAGGGCAACAGGGCGCGCCGGGCAGCGCGAAGGTCCAGCAGCGCCAGGGAGCCCCACCAGCCCCGGCGGCAGCATGGCGGGCAGCGGGGCCCAGATGGCCGGGGGCCTGGGCTGCTCGGGCCAGGTGGGAGTCCGTACCTGTGCATCTGCCCAGGTGTGTCCTCTGCCCCGTACCTGTGCACCTGCCCAGGCACGTCCTCTCCCCCGTACCTGTGCATCTGCCCAGGCGTGTCCTCTGCCCCGTACCTGTGCATCTGCCCAGGTTGTCCTCTGCCCCGTACCTGTGCATCTGCCCAGGTGCGTCCTCTCCCCCGTACCTGTGCATCTGCCCAGGCGCGTCCTCTGCCCCGTACCTGTGCATCTGCCCAGGTGTGTCCTCTCCCCCGTACCTGTGCATCTGCCCAGGCGCGTCCTCTGCCCCGTACCTGTGCATCTGCCCAGGTGTGTCCTCTCCCCCGTACCTGTGCTTCAGCCCAGGCGCGTCCTCTGCCCCGTACCTGTGCATCTGCCCAGGTGTGTCCTCTCCCCCGTACCTGTGCATCTGCCCAGGTGCGTCCTCTGCCCCGTACCTGTGCATCTGCCCAGGTGTGTCCTCATCACAACTATAGCAGTGGCACTGCACTGACGACTCCGGGCTGCCCAGACCTGCAAGGGCCCTGACACCCCTCCAGGAGAACATGACGCTCAATCCTGAGCTCTGAGGTCCTCCGACGCCACCTGCCACTGCTGCAGCTGCGGCGGGGGGGGCTGCAACCAAGTTGAGACCAGGACAGGACGGACCGGGGCTTCTCTGGAAGACAGCACGGCCGGCTCGGGAGGGCTCTACCCCTGTCATCCCAGCACTCTGGGAGGACGCCGAGGCAGGCGAGGATCGCTGGAGGTCAGGAGTTCAAAACGCAGCCTGAGCAAAGAGCGAGACCC